GGGGGGGGGGGGTGACAAGCTTCTTTATTGACTATTTGAGTCTTAAATATCTGTTATGGTACTAATTAATTTATTTTTAAGAAAAAAGGATTTTTTTAATTTGTGCCCTAATGACACAAGTTAAAGGCAATTTTTTTTTATCATAAATACATATGGAAAAATATAAAAATTGATATTAATTTTAGTATTGGTGTCAAGAGGATGAATTTAGTTGAACAAATAATAAATTAAAGATCAATTTTTATTTTTTCAATAAAAATTTTGATAAAAATATATTTATTACACATTTAACATGTATCTTGAGGCACATATTAAAAAAACCTTAAGAAAAATTTTAATTTTAATTTTTTTTCATTGGTATCTTCTTATAATCTCAAAAAATTAAGAAATTAATATATTATCTTCTTATAATATATCTTTAATAATTTTTTATCAAATGAAAATAAAAAATATTGCCTCACTATGATAATACTTAAAAAATGGAAAACTAATTCAAACAATTTTAAATTCTTGCTCTTTCCAACCCAAAATGTCTTTTTTTTTTTTTTTTTTTTTTACTTATTTGTTTATTAGGAGTTATTGTTTCCCATCCCAAAGAACTGAACTATTTGAAAGAGAGAATATAAAATTGAATATTTAGAAATTGAAATCATCGACATAAAGACGCAGAAATTTTTATTAATAAAGATTTTGTTAATCAAATAATTTTCTAAAATAAATCATAAAAATTAAAAAATAATATCCTAAAACAATTCAAAAACTAAAAGGGAGAAGACTCTTTGAGTGTGTATTTAATTTTTTTTTTTTTGGCATTTATGGTCAAAATGTCCCTAGGTCAAGTTTTGGGTACTTCAATACTATTCCCTTCTTGGACAATTTTAAGGGTGGACTCTCTATATTGATATGAAGTATTTAAGAAAATTAATTTTCTTGAGTACTAACCCTAAGATTTGAACTCTAAACCTACCCTAAAAAATAACACTTCTTTATCAGTGGATCTAACCCCTAGGGTTTGAATTTGTGTTTAATTAAGAGCCTCAATTCTTAAGTTATTCAATAGATAGGAAATTCATTTATTTAAATTAAAATATTCTCAACCTTTGCCAAACATTTAATTAAGTTCTCATGTTTTTACGTATTTAAAATGATGGTTATAATAAAAATAATATAAATTGAATTAGTTTTGAGTTGTTAAGTGTTAAAGATTATAAAGAATTAAATGATAATATCTTAAACTTTCACATGGTATATTTTTTAAGACAAAAAAATGAGTACTAATTTTGAAAGTTTTTCAAAAGTTGAGGGGGGTGGCCGCACCTTTGCACCCCCTTCTCGCCTTAGCATGACATAGCAGATTTTTCTTAATTAACTAACTAGCTTTCTTAAATCTAGTTAATCCTTCAACCCCTTGCTTGTTAAGCTAATCATATGTAACTTAAAACAAAGTAATTAACATTAAATTTTATAGAAACTTTTAGTTTAAAAAGGAAAAGCTCTTACCTTTCTTCTCTTTCTCCACTTCCACAAGTGACACTAATTACTTTATGATCTCATAATCTAACATATAGTTTATATTGTTATTAGTTTAGTTCATGTAGTCCTTTCTCAAATTCATGCTTAAACAACTACATCAATTGAAAGTTGGCCAAGCTTTTGAAGCATTAAGTTTAATAATAAAAACTTATCATGCCAATAACAAATAAATCTTGAATTAAACTAAAAGTAATCTTATAATCCAAAAATTAAACTATATCTAATCCTAGTTCAAATAATTTAACCACTCATGATTAAGTTGAAAACAACCATAAGAATTAAAGAAGAATTTTGACAAAGAGAGATAATAAAATTGACAAGTTCAAATGGATAAACATAATTAACTGTGCTCCTTTCTTCTTTTGTTTGGATTTCTTCCTTATTGAGTAGCTTTCCCTTGATTTGCTGTTGTGTAATTCTCCCTTGAATTGTTTAGGGTTTTTGAAATAAGGTTGCAATCTAAACTCGAAGAGGAGGAGAGAATTGATCAACAAAAGTGGGTTTTCTTTTTTAACTTATTCTTTTTTTTGGGGGTTTTTTATGAATTGTTGTCTTAAACATTGCCAGTCCATAATTATTATCTGAGGCCCTTGATTTGAAAATGATTAAAAAACCATAACATGATTCTATTTTGCCAACTCCTTCCAACAAATTGCCACAACTTAAACTAGAACTGTGACTTTAATACGACTTAACTAGGTTAAGTTTTTGAAATATGAATTTTAACTCTATCTCCTAGCTTTCCAATTCTGCAAGAATCATTACAATGGATATTTATAGAGAAAATTATGGTCAAAATACCATTGCTGGTTTAAGCTACCATTAGTTGAAGAATTGATTCCCATTAAGTTTTTTCTTCAATTTCACTTACAAAACAATAAAATCAATATAAATTTCAATGAGACTAAATTATAAGGAACACATAGAAATTAATTTCAAGGATAAATATGGTAAAAAAATTTCTATCATCAAAAGCTCATTTTAACACCAGAATTGACAAATCTTATCCTAAATCCAAAATTACGAAGCTCAACCAATTCGTCTTGCCACTTATTCACGAGTTGCATCAAAGTTTGTCATGTCAACATATGACTTTGGCAAAAATATAAAAAAAAAAACTTCAACACACCTTAGCAACAACATCAGTGGTAGACATTGTTAAGGCTTGAGTTTATTAATCAAAACTCACTTTTTGACAAGGCTTGGCATTCAATGGGAAAATTCAATCATCCCATCGGTAACTTCAATTTAATTACAATGACTCATCTTGCTACTTCCTACGTTCTAGTTGTGTCATAATGGTCCTTAACACTGCTCGAAAATTGGAAGTGACATTGACCTTTGTGCCTACTCTCCGTGTTTTATAACTTGACAAATCCAATCACCTAAACTATTATTCCACGTGTTGAGTCAAAGTTTTTACATCAATTTCTAGCTTGCTTTGACAAAACAGCCTAAATCACCAAAGACATTATAGAAGTGGTTGTTCACTAAACCATCAGAAATGCAATAACGGCTTTAGTGGCATAGGTTACAATACTAAATATGTATATAGAAGAAATGGAGAATATATGAGATAGCTCATGCAAGAAAATTTTACAAAGGATCAACTTAGGTCTACAGAAAAACCATAAGAATTAGCTTGTCTTTGGAGCTACTGTTTTAATTATAGTAGAAGTACTGACTAGAGTCTAACTAAAAGAAAGGTGCAAGAGTTAAGTTAAAAGCTATTAAAAATATGAATTCTATAACAAATTAAAACATTAGGACTAAAACATCAAGTCAACAAAAAATAAAAAGAAAAAATAACAACATAAATGACCAAAGAAAATGACTGGTATATACTTCTATATATTTTTTTATAATCATTTTAATTTATTTATTAAAGTATAATATAATTACTTCACTTCAGTTACTTTTTATATCTTGTATTTGTGATAATATTTTTAAATTTATTTTTATTTAATTTTAAATTAAATAATAATAATTTTATAATAAATATATTTTATAATATTTTGAACAACTAATCATGTCCAACGACTTAATTTGACAACAATCTTAAGTAAGGGCTAAAAGAAGTTGAAGGAATACTCGACATAAAGTTAAGTACAGGGTTGATTTGCATAATTTGTCTTATTAATCCCTGACCTAGAGCTACTCCAAGTCTTCCAACTCTTCCAAGTCTTCAAAAATGGAGTAAGAGAAGTGGAAACCGATGAATCTTAGTTGAGATCTCTTAAAGCTACAGTCGAATTTGCAATCCGATCGATTCTACAATTGTTTTCGCAGAAGAAGCTGTAATGGTTAGAATAAGCTTGGATTTCCGCTTCCTTCTTATACCCGTCGCTCTCTTATTCATCTACATCCAGGTAAACGTTGCTTGACTCTATCATTTTCCCTAAATTTTAATTTCTTTGTACAGAAAATCGAAATTCGTTGTTTCTGATTTGAATTTTACGGAAGAATTTTCTTGTTTTCTCCTTTATTATTGTTTATTTCGAACTCGTTTGTTAGATGCGGCTCTTCGCTACACAATCAGAGTACGCAGATCGAATTGCGGAAGCGGTGCGTGCGATTAACTTTTGTTTTAGCTCTATTTTTGTGTTTAATTTCCTTGAATACTTTGTCTTGATTACGTTGTTAGGAGCTGTGTGAGTTGAAAATTGCATGAGTGAATTTATTTCAAGACGAAGCTTGAGAAGAAATAGTATTTTATCTGGAATAACGAGAATAAGTAATGAATCAAATCATATGCAAGTTGCAACATGTTTAAAAGGTCAGTAATAAACTGCACATCCTGCTAAAGTGGAATTAATATAATTCATCATCAGAAACTAAAAGAAATTTACGGTTTAACATTAATTTTAATACTATTTCAACACAGTTTATGATAATTTCACTTCCTGAGAAATTTTTTCATCACATACATAACAAAAGTTGTGTAACAATCCACAAACCACTGTGGGTCTGTCGAAGTGAACCTCACTGTTTTAAAAGGTGTCCATTTGGATTTGGGATGTTACACATTACTAACAGTTGCTCTTCAGTCCTTGATTATTTTCAGTTTCACTTTCCTTCTTAAATCTCTTTAATTAAAAAAGGAATACTTGCCTTGTAGGATTCTCAAAGATAAATGTTTCTCATTTTTTCTGAGCACTATAAATCTTTAAAATGCACTATTATATGTATTGTGTTGTGACAGGTTGATGCTGAGAATCATTGTACAAGTCAAATGCGACTACTAATAGATCAAATAAGCATGCAACAAGGGCATATTTTATCCCTGGAAGGTTTGACTCTTTCTGTATAATGTATTTTGTTTCCTTGTTTCAATATTTGTTATTAATGATAGAACTTGTTTCTTTCACTAAGTTATTTGTAAAATGGCAAGAAAGTTGGATCCCTTTAGGTGAGCTCTAAGTTGAATGTCAAAGAATTTATGGTACCATTTTGCAGGTTACCCATATGCCTAAAAAGTGAGAGGAAAACTCAGTTCCTTGATCTAACTTTCAATTCTAATTGAAGGAGAAACGGAGAGTAAATATACTAAAGAAGGATGATAGTGTGCAAGTTGATTACTTGATTTTATTCCTATTTATAGGATGTTGAGTAAAAAGTTGACGCAAATGGAGTCAGATATATTTGGCCATTGCAGTTTACTTATGTCATTAGTACTCTTGTGTGGGTGTGTTTTGGATGAAATAATTTAATGTAATTATTATGTTTCTGTGGAGTAATTCTAATGATCCATCAGTCAATATTGAGAAAACGGGTTGGTAGATTGGTTCAATGTTTTCTATGTTTTATTATGTTTGTTTCTAGAGTTGTCTTTAGCAAAAGTATAGAACCTCTAAATCATCAATTATATGTAGTAATGTTTTGTCTCTATTGTATTTATGTATCTAGCTAACTTTATCTCTGACAAAAGTTGTCCAACTATGAGGTTGCAGACTGCTGGTGCTTAGTACTACATCATTTAGGCCTTGTAGAGTTCTGTTGGGAATATTTTATTGAGTATTCACTTTATTTTTGAATTTATGAAGTCTTTTATTTGGAATTTTTACTTTAAAGATTTCAACATTTGTTTAATTTATTTCTTTTCCCTTTCATTTCTCAATAACTTGTTTCTATTAAAACATGATAATTGGTTTTTGATTCTTTGGTCATAATGAAATTCCCCATTTTGTTGTAATTTTTCTGTCTGAAATTGAAGACAATTATATATGCTTCCTCTTCCAACTTCTAAGTAAAGAAAAGTGGGATTATTATTGTTTTTGTGGATGGGTAACGTCCACGCTGTGATTTTCCAGTCATTAACTGAGGTCTCTTTGATTTTTCAGAGGAGAAGAAACGTCTGGATCAAGAAGGTGTACAACTGAAGGCTCTTGTTCAGGAACTTGAAAGTATGTCCTTATCAGAAACAGATTATTTCTTCCCCTTTTTGCTTGTTATGGTTTTCTTACAAGATGATACGAATATGAATATGGACCATACAGATATTGTGATGTCAGTTTTCAATAAAATGGGATGAGAATATGAAAGCAGTGTAATAAAAAATGTTGTTGTATATCAACTAATACTTATTATTGTTTAGTAAACTTCCAATAGAGGTCCAAAATAGCACTAAAGCCGAAAGGCCAACATGGTTGGCCCCTGAGTCTAAATACAATTGCTTAATTAAATAATGGGTCCTAGGAATTGATTAATTAAATAAAAGGCTTGGACTTAGTTCCAGCAGAGCCACTAGTTTTTTTATACGTTTAGTGAATAGTTTTAAAGGTTTAGTGGAAATGTACAAAGAAAGAACACACAAAAATGAATTCCAAAAAAAAAATAATAATAATAATAAAATCAACATTTTCTATTCATTTAGAGACTAAGCATTCATTTTTCTTGTCATTTATGCAAAACATGATATGTATTTATTTGTGTGTGTGTTTTTCAAGTTTTTGTTGTATCTGAAAGTAGTATGGATATATATCCTGGAGTGTCGAAGGGGTATTGGTTTCCAAATTGGATGCAACATTGGGTGAGTACATATTTTAGTTAGTTTCTATTTTAGATTTAACTCTCAATATCCGTATGATTGCATTTTTACTTCAAAATAAGTTATTACTCTTGTAAACATGGGGGTCTTAATTCCATTGATGTCAAAAGATACTCATTTGCTGCTAATAAAATTTGCCTATAAAAGTATTTTCCACTGAAGGACAGTAGATTTGTGGTGCAATTATTCCTGTTGTTCATTTCATTTAAATAAGGCATTTCTTTGTCTGCTTCTAGAATGGAAGATTTGGCATGTCTACGTTGTAGGTGCTTAGTATTTCTCATTTTTGTTGTTTTAGGGAAAGGTCTTCAGAGAATGATTAACAAAACACAGGTTGGTGCGAAAGAAATATGCATTTTGAGCTTTCTTTCTTCTAGAAATCATAATGTATATTCATTTTAATATATTAATATTCATCTTTTTGGCTTCTTTTATTAGGAGCCAGTGGCAGCAGTTGTCATCATGGCATGCAATCGTGCTGATTATCTGGAAAGGACAGTTAATTCTGTTTTAAAGTTAGTTTTTCTCAAATTGAGCTTATTTTTATATTCTACCGGGTTTGATACTTTTTTAGCTTATTTATTGTGGCTAAATTCTTTGTAGGTATCAAAGCCCAATTGCTTCGAAGTATCCACTTTTTGTGTCACAGGTAATTTAGATTTGTAGGCTTATTATTGTTGTAAGGACACTTTCACTTTAGTTAATGGGAATGATTGACACCTTTACTGCTGATGCTTTAGTTACCATGTTAATATAGATTACTATGATTTATAAGAGCAAGGTTTTTTACTGCTTTTCTTTCTTCTCAGGATGGTTCAAATCCAGAAGTTAAGAGTAAAGCATTGAGTTATGATCAGCTAACTTATATGCAGGTGAGGTCTCTCTATGTGCCTGTGTGTGTTACATGTGAACTCAAAATTGGGGATAAAGAGAATAATTCATGGCAGAGACTGCATATTTGCATTGACTGACGTAATTAGCTTTTTCTTTCTTTTTTCTTTTTCTTTTTCTTTTGAAGAGAGCTTTTTGGGCAGAAGCACCACTGAGCTCCTAAGATATTTTTTATGATAAGAAAACCTTGTAATGTTTTGATAAGTCCTCTATAAGTGTGTAGGAACAAAAGGAAAGATTTTGGAAAGAAAGCAAGTTTCCATGTGTGGCAAGAGCGACCTTTACTCATTTTTTTAAGAACATATAATGACTGATTTTCTTCAAGGGATCAGCATTTGAGAGTAGACATCTTAAGCTTTCCAACAAGCATAAGAACATCCAAAATAGAGTTCAAATGAGAAAATATGAAGGGTCCGTTTTGTTCACAGAAAACTATTTTTAGAAAATATATTTTTGTATTTTCCAATGTTTGATAACTCTTTGGAAACTAGGTCAATGGAAATTAAGTTGAGTCAACGGAAAATGCAATAGGCTATTTCCAGAAAATGACTTCTGGATTGAATTTCAGGAAGTTGTTTACTGACTTCAAAAACATGCGGATCCTCAGGATCAAACATGCAATCTGTGTAGGTTTTTGACTTTCAAATAGCATTCAGAATAGAGAAAGATCAAAGCTTTTATTTCTTGTCTTGATCCTCCTGTTCTGTTATCTGGCATCAACATAAACAAAAGTTTAACCCTTGGAACCATCATCAAGCTTGTTGCCTTGACCCCAAATGGTGTACACTTCTTCTCCATGAGCAGCTTCATCTCTGATTTACTTGTCCTCTAAATGACATCCTCAAAAGACACAACCAGTTGCCCAAAAGGATGATTTTTCTTATCCAGGAGGCAGAAGTGAAACCGGCAACACTGGAAGATAAGTGGATGACAAAGACAAGGAGTAATCAATTATTTTACTAAGGTTTAACTTTAATGGTTTAATCTTTGATTAATGTTTTGGAAAATTTACAGATTTTTCATTGCTTTCCAAACAACAGAAAATATTTTCCATAAAATATTTTCCATAGTGTTCCAAACAATAGAAAATAATATTTGGGAATAGAAAATATTTTCTGAAATGAAGCCATTTTCTGTGAACCAAACGGACCTGGAGTCTTAGTGTTGGAGGAAAGTTGGAAGAGAAGCAAGATTTAAAATATATATAGTTGAGAAAAACTTGGGAGAGCTCTTAGATGAATGCTCTAAAATCAATCAACCATGCGTGAGCTAAGATTTGAAAATCCTTTGAAGAGAGTGACCTTAGAATTAAAAATTAGATCTTTTAGAGATCAAATCTTGTTGTAATCTTTCTTTCTACATTCTATTGTGAGCTTAGGGTTGTGTGATCTTTTAAAAGAGACCATTAAGGTGTTTGATCCTCCTAGAGGGAAATTATGAGAAAATTCTTGGTGAGTGAAGCTAATGTAGTGTTTGAGTAAAAAACATCATTTTAAAGGATTGTGTAGTTTCTTTAAGCTACCATTGTTTGTTTAGTGGAGAGTGTGGAGGGAATTCTTAGCAAGTAGAGCTAAGGTAGAGGATTAGGTGCAAAGTGGTTAGATCAAGTTTCCATAAAATCATTGTGTGAGCACTCTTCCCAACTCGTGTTATTTTTCTTTAAGGATGAAAAATTTTGAGAATCCAATTCAATTCTGCTTGGATTTCTTGGGTGCATTCAGCCTATCAAGGGCTGCATGAGAGTGTTGCTAGGGCTTTCATTTAAGTGTGGATGTAAGTAGGTTTAGATGAGTCTCTCGTGTTATATCATATATTTGGTAATATTGTTGCTGTTAAAGCCAATCCAGTCAGCACTAACTTCAGTTCATTGCAGCACTTGGATTTTGAACCAGTGTACACAGAAAGGCCAGGGGAATTGATTGCATACTACAAAATTGCGCGTAAGGATCATATTCTTTTCTTCATGTTTCGTGATCATAAAATTAATTCCTGGAAACACCTAAAAATATTTAATTTCTAAAGGTCACTACAAATGGGCATTGGATGAGTTGTTCAATAAGCACAAATTCAGCCGAGTAATCATACTTGAAGGTGCAGTTCTGTTCCTTTGTGTTATCTTTTCAGTTTTTCATCTCCTTTTTATATCATTCCTAATTGCAAAAAGAGATTTGTGCTGACTGAGCATCTCTTTTGAAGACAGATGATATGGAAATTGCATCAGACTTCTTTGATTACTTCGAGGCTGCTGCAGACCTGCTTGACAGGGATAAGTATGTGAATGAATCAAGCTCTTCCATCCTAGTATAAAGTTAAGCACTAAAATTTTAGAATCTTTGTTTTGAATATCTCACTTTTTTGTATTAACAATTCTAGATCAATTATGGCTGTTTCCTCGTGGAATGACAATGGACAAAAGCAATTCGTACATGATCCCTGTAAGTTTTTCTGCGAATGTTTTCACAATTAGCACTGTTCTAGAATGAAATTCAAGATTAAGCCCTCCCTCCCTCCATCAATTTGTGCATGATCACTCTAAGTTTTTCTGTAAAACGTACAAGTAGCATTGTTCTAGAATCAGAATGAAGCTTAATGCCTCCCTCCCTGCCTCCTTCTCCCCATGGGGGTCATTTGCATTGTCAACTTGAAACTGTCATTGTACAATCAGCTTCTAGTTGATTCATGCACTTGGAACTTTGTATACAAGAGCATGAGCAAGATATTTGAAGTTACATAAATGGAAACTCTTGGTGCAGCCTATGACCTAGTTGGCTTTGATGTACCATGCAGATGCACTTTATCGGTCAGATTTCTTTCCTGGACTTGGATGGATGCTAACTAGATTAACATGGAGTGAGCTCTCACCAAAGTGGCCAAAGGCATATCCTTCATGGTTCACTTAAATTTTATTTCTTAAATCAGACTTATACATACTAATATGGTCACATTTGAAAAAATTTTCCTTGACAAAAATTCACTTATTGGGATGACTGGTTGAGGTTAAAGGAGAATCACATTGGTCGGCAATTCATCCGTCCAGAAGTGTGCAGAACATATAATTTTGGTGAGCACGTAAGTATATCTGCTCTATTGTTTGACCTGCATAACAAACTGACCTTTGTTTGTCATATTTTCTCTTAAAATATCTTATGTTCCTTGTCAACGAAATCATCAGATCCTTAAAGTTCATTTTCTTCTCAAATGATTTACTTTAAAAATATAAGCTTGTATCCCTTTATATGGAAAATTGCTTATGGTTTGTATGCTCTGTAATATATCTTGGAATGGACTATCAGAAGCTATCCTGGTCAACCTGCCACATTGAGCATTAAATCTATAGTTGATAAACTCTTACTAGCTTTTATTGTTTATTTGCCAGAATGGTTTTTATGACCAAACCGTGTGATTTGTGGGTGGCTGACACCAGCCATACAAAACCAGATATTTTCTGAAACTAAGATCACCCACTAACTTGTTAAATGTAACCTGAACAGCTCTAAATTTGGATATCCCTTATACTACTTGCCCTGAAGCTTTGTTCTTTTACTTGTTATTAAAATCAGGGTTCTAGTTTGGGACAGTTTTTCAAACAATATCTCGAGCCTATTAAGCTGAATGATATCAAGGTAAGCATTAATTAGTTTTTATATGACATTTCTCTCTAGTTAAAATTATCTGTACCTTTATTTCAAGATTGAAATAATTTTTGTATTGCTTTGCCTTTACCTCTTGATAGGTTGATTGGAAGTCACAGGACTTGAGTTACCTAATGGAGGTACAATGCATATATGTGTCATAAGTGTGCTTGTTTGTTTATCCACAGGAGCACAATGCTGCTGTTTGTTTTCCTTTATATTCATGACCAGTTAATTATGTTCTGCTCTTATAGGACAAGTATACGAAATACTTTGCTGACATTGTGAAAGAAGCTAAACCTGTTCATGGCACTGATGTTGTTCTCAAGGCTAGTAATATGGAAGGTGATGTGCGTATTCAATACAATGACCAGCCAGGTTTTGAACGTGTTGCACGACAATTTGGAGTTTTTGAAGAATGGAAGGTAAACTATTGCTTTGATATTTATAATATGTTCTCTTCCTCCATTGATCAAGAATGTTCCCAATAATAGAAGAGAGAGGCTTGTGAATTTATTATGCCTGGTTTCTTTGGCTGATACATAGCTGGTGACAGATTACTAACAGTTATCTTTTGTACCACTGCAATGCCATTTTAGATGCAAGTTTTTGGCAATAATGGGTGCAAGGTTTACCAACTAAAGAATACCATATTTTCTGATTTAATATTATCATATGCAAATTATCAAAAATATATATATATATTATCGTATGAAAAAACTGCTGTCACACTGTATCTCCTTGTTTTCCTGATCGTTACAAACATATGTTGCAATTTTGTGGTCCCAAACTGTTAGAACTCTTTTAGATGAGAACTGATTGTTTCCAGGATGGAATATTTCTTCACTTAACTTTATTATTATTGCCTTTTTTTTTTATTAAATTAGGAAGCCATTTCCTATTTCAGTTTGATGGAATATTTCTTCACTTAATGTTACTATTATCTCTTTATGGTTTTTTTAAGTAAATCAGGAAGCCATTTCCTATTATCTCTTTATGTTTTTTTTAAGTAAATCAGGAAGCCATTTCCTATTTCAGTTTGGTCCAGGAAAATGACAATATTGTTCATTCAAATTCAAATGCTTTCTGTGTCCTTGCTCCTTGGAATTTTATGTCTTTGCACTTTCACATGACTGGAAAACCTTGTCTTTTAAGCTTTTGGTGCTTGAGAAAATCACTTTTGTATGTTCGGGTGCATTTTGATTCTTTGTGTTCCTAGGATGGCGTACCAAGGGCGGCGTATAAAGGAATTGTGGTTTTCCGATTCCAGACCAGAAGGCGTGTATTTCTTGTTGGTCCGGACTCTCTAAGGCAGCTTGGGATCGAAGATGCATGAAAATAGGAGGTTTATACTTGCCAATTTTGGTTATTTGGATAACATTCTCATATCCATGTTAATTGCAAAAGTTGCCTTGCTGCTATTTTAGGAGGAAATTAGTGATGACAGTGTACTTTCAGGGAATTTTCCTGTTCGAACTAAAGAAGATTCATGGTCAATACTTGAAAAATTTTCAACCATCTCAACCTCGTGGGTGAACGGCCGTTATAATAGAAATATTTGTAACTCAGTTCTGAATTTAAAGAATCTGACTATTGTTATCGATGCACGGGCAGACTTTCTAGGTTAAAATATTAATTAAATTTTTTAGCTTTCAAACTTATATTAAATTTATTTTTAAATTTTATAAAGTATTAAAATTGTCTTTAAATTTTTATTTTTGTATCAATTTCATTATTCTTTAGACGGAATTGATAGATGGCACATTAATTTATCAGAAAATTACGCTAAAATAAAAAATTGCTACATGAAAAAAAATAAAGAAGAACACGTGTAAGTTGATGAGGTGACATCTCTTCTATCGCTTTTCATATCTTGTTTTCGTGTTATCCACCATCGAGACCACCTGCATGATCCACACTCATGACACTATTTTCACTGGCTTTTTCGCCACATTGTCTACCTCGGAGGCATTGTCCTTCTGGAGCGGCAATATGGTTGCTTGAGTTTCTGGTCTCAAGACCACTGACAATGTTGGGTTACTGAAGGAATCTAACTTTGGGTATGATCTTGTGATTGGGGCTTATATAGGGACAGGGATGGAGAAGAAGCTCTCAAACCCAGATTTGATTCCTCTCACCCCTCCACCCTCTTCTACTCTTGCTAGTTGTCAAAACCCTAATCTAGTTCCTTGCTTCTAGCTTGACTTGCGTTGATAGCAAGTCTTTTGATCCGCTAACACCTAGATCTGGCTCTTCTCTTCTTCACGGCTCCACTCGAATCTCAACCTCTATGTGATAACCATGGTATCAAAGAAGAAGCTTTCAAACCCAATGAGGGAGATTGAGGTGTAGAATCTCGTCCTCAACATCCCCGTTGGAAAAGGCAAATATGTTTGCAGAGGAGAAATCGATTAATTATGGGAGGAATTTGAGATTCATTTTGTGTTTTTTTTTTTTTTTGGATTTTATATTTGTTTTAGAATTCTAGTAGAGTTCATTTTGGAGTTGTATTTGAGGTGAATTTGTTTGATACTTCTGCTAATGAAATTGAAAACTGGAAAATTGGAAAAGCAATCTTAAATTTTTTGGGTTTAAAAATGTTTGTGTTTTGTAATTTGCAGTTGCTTGTGAAGAAGACCATTGGAAGGTTTATTGGAGAAGGAACCAAATGATCTGGGCCCCATTTTTTATGAACAGATAAATGCAGTTCCCATTTTTCTATAAACGACATTAAAATGTTAAAATGATGTAAGCCTCATTAGTTATTGCTACATCAATTATAAAGGTCTACTACATTACTATTTTTAGTTAAAGTTGCAGATTCCAGTAATATTGATATTTAAAGAATACGACATGTTAACGAAAAAAATTGGCCATGTCAGCATTTAACTAATGGAAGGACAAATTTGGTATCAAAAAGGAAGTTTAAAGATTGTTTTAATACTTTTTAAAATTTAAGGATGAATTTGGTATAAATTTAAAACTTTAGGGACCAAATTGGATTTTGACCAATTTTCTAACAAAGACGAACCATTTGAAAACATAAAGATCTCGAGTATAGGGAGTGGTTACCTACACACTAAAATTTCTTAAGGCCACATAAATTAAGAGTGTTTGTGTTTAGTTTAATTAATATTTTAATAATTTATAGGTTTTTTTTAATAGTTAATTATAATATTTAAAATATCAATTTATAAATTAATTTTAATATGTTAAGTTATTAGGTTTAAATTAATAAATTATCTTCTAATTATGCATTTTTTTATCAAATTTGTCTAAAAATTTTATTTTCTTCCTAAATAATTTATTAACTTTCAAAATTATATCAAGTTAGGCTACCCCAAGCCATTGCCGATGGGTAACATGACGAAAATCCTCATTAGTGCTTATGTGGCACGACGTCATATGCCACTTAAACACCACATGACCAAAATAAAATGGGGAAAACTCTTGCCTCTTTAATTTCCGTCATCTGATTAACAATTATCACTAATTACTTGAATATCTAAAGTTGAACCAAATTTCTCTGAAATCTTTCTTCCCAATTCTTTATTTTCAAAATATGCTTTGAATAAAACTTTGTCTAGGGTTTCTTGCAACTCAAAGTTCTGCCACCATTTTCAACTTTGAGGAATGGAGTGGGGGCTTAGACCACGAGATAGTGAAGATGTCTACAGTAAGATGTGTTTCTAATCTTGCATCTTTCATGTCCTAAATTGTTGTCAATGGCTTCAATTGAAGGTTTATTTTTTATTTTTTATTTTTTTGTCCAATTGTAACATAACATGTAGAAAAAGGGAAATAGCCATTTATGGCAAGATATTTAAAAGAACACAATAAGTCAACTCCTTGTTGAGTATTTACATCACCAATCATTAAACTTTTCAACATCCTAAAAAAAATCTACCACATTCAAGTGTGTGTCAAGGTCTATATTGTTATGTTCAATAAAATTCATTTTTGGACCTTTTCTATTTTCATTAAGTGAGGCTTGGTAGAGATCAACCAAATGCTTAGTTGTGTGGTAAGCATGCTCTCAATGTCCTTTTATTCCACATTTATAACAAACACTCTCAAGATCTTTTGTAGGTTTCTTTTGTAAATTTTTAACTCTTGCATTCCTTTATTTAGCAAATTTATATTTAGGGGTAAAACCACTATAGTAGCAAGTATAGTTTCAACCACAATCATGCCCTCAACCATGGCTATTACCATGATTATGGCTACAATCGCAATTACGCCCATTATTATCATATGAGGTTGAATATACTTCAATTTAAAGGGTTGAACTAGTGGGTTGCAACTAATAATTTTTCATGAAAAACTCATTACTCTGTTCAATAATAAGAAGACATGATATCAATTTTAAATATATTTTAAAACCACACTCTCAATAATTTTGTTGAAGAAGTAAATAATTTGAGGCATGAAAAGTAGATAACGTTTTCTCTAACATGTCTTTATCAATAATACTTTCTTTACATAATTTTAATTGAGATAAAATTTGAAACACTGCAAAGTTATATTCATAACAAACTTTTGAGACAATCACTGTTTTTTGGTAACCATATTTTTCTTTCAAATTTTGTCATAATTATAATGGATCTTTAATTGTTAAGTATTCAACCTTCAATCCCTTCTGGAGATGATAGGGGAGGAATATCATCATTTTAGCACCATCTTGCAAGTATACTTGATTTTTTCAACAAATGTTTCTCTAAGATTGTTTGCAGCCAAATGGATTTTAACATTAAGTATCGATGGCTAGAGCAACAAAGTCAAGTTTTGTCAAGTTTCACATTATGGCTACAAAAATTTGTCGAATATTAATATAATACAAAAGCAAATTGAAACTTAAAAAAAAAAAACAAAAAAAAAAAAACAAACAAACAAAAGAGAGAATATTTACATTAGGATATATATATAGATATATATATATATATATTACCTCGATTTGGATCATGGAGATGATCATGCTAATATATTATGGAATAAAGGGAAAAAGATAGCAAAGTAACAAAGCTTTGCAATGATAACTTATTTCATCAATTTTAACTCATACAAATTAAGTTGTAGGCCTATATATAGGCCAAAAAAAAAAAAAAAATAGAGATTACATTGACCATTGAATAGGATTTAGTGACACCATGAATACCCCAAAGTGTGGAGCTATAAATGGAGCTAAGTGGAAACTGATTACAAATAGAAGATTCAAGATAAAGATGAAGATAAAAGTGAGGTGAAACATCCACCAACATCCATAATATAAAAATTCACAATACAAAATTTTTTTTTTAAAAAAAAGTGAAAAATAGTAGATAACAAGTTACTAGTAAAATGAAAATAAGGATATTTTTTTCTAGATGGAAGAAATAAGTAAGGAATAATTATAGTTATAAGAGACATGGTATTAGCTATTGGCTGCAATTGATGTTACGTCAAGGCATATTAGAGGCACTGCTTTTAATTAATTAAACGCTATGGCTTTGTTTGTGGGAGCTCCTAACAAACTTTTTTTACACAACATTTTATTTTAAAATATAAATTTTTAATTTTAATTAATTTTTTATATTTTTATTAATTTAATTAATATTTTATTTATTTTTATAATAAAAAGACAAAAAAAAAAAAACAAAAAAAAAACCTAAAGCTATAGTATGACAGTACAACATTGCCAAATTAAACCAACATCATCTATATGTTTGGCACAAGAACCCTTTTCCACTTGTCTTAACCCTTTTCCAACATTAAATACCAAAAAAAAAAAAAAAAAAAAACCTTTTCACTCATTAAAAAAGATGTAAAAAAAGGAAAAAATAGGTGCTACATTTCTACCGACCAGCTGGTCAGGACATTCAAAAATCTAAATTCTCACAACATTATCGTCCTTACAACCTCTTTAAAAAATCGAATTATAATCACCATGTTGGGAAACAAACCTAAATTGCTAATAAAATTAACTATAACTCTGGTGATACATTCATGGGATTTAACAAAGTTAAAATACTGCGTTAGTCCCCTTTTTTTATGAACTGTATTAGTCCCTGAATTTATGGAATTTAAATATTTTATTTGATTACTTAAGTAAGTTAATAATTTATATCTATATCATCTATCATGTTGGTATTAAAATATGTTTTTCAAATTTCCAACTGATACATGAAAACTAAAAAATTGATTTTTGGGCAACTTAGCAGGGCACATCAGCCTTGTTATTGAAAAATTGACATAAAGTTAATAGGACTTAAAAGGTGTTAAAATTTAAAATTTTAGGATTATTTTAATATTTTAAAGTTTAAAGACTATTTTAGTATCAAATTAAAAGTTTAGAGACCATTCTGGTGTTTTAACCATTTGACAACCAACATCTTTATATGCCTCAGCCAAAACAAACCAAAAACCAAAGTTCTTAAAATAGCTTCTATGTTCGATAATAATTCCAGGACAGTTGAAAACTGAATTATTTTGTCCAAGAAAACTTATTCTTATCGACAATGAGCATAATGTTATAAGGGTGGAAAAAATGTGATTTTCTTCTTCTTCCCCTTTTTTCCTCTGGACAATGAAGATTCTCTACTCTCTCCATAAACAACTTTCCTTGAAACTCGTAGAACACCACTAGCACCACCACCAAAAATCACCCCCATATTAGACTTGGTCTTTCACCATTAATCTATATTCCTTCCATCTTTCTCTACTCTTTCTCTATTTTCTCTCCTTTTCTCTCCTTCCAATCAAAATTCTTATGTGCTTCCTATTTGGGTACTCCAAGAAGTGGGGAACATCTTCAATCTTTCATCAAAATGATCACAAGCTCTTCTTCAAGGCATTGACACCACCCCCATTTCTACTTTCTTCCAATTTTTCCTCCTTTGTTCTCGACACGGTTCTACTAATCATTTTATTGAACTGTTCATATTCTATGCTACTCAAGGAATAATTCAGAATGTTTTTTTAGTTTTTAGGTGAAACAAGAAATGATGCTTTGAAGGAAAGATATTTTAGATTTTTGAGAATGGCATCCCATACAAACCAACCATCAAAAAAGGCGATTCGAAACTCTGGTGGTTCTAATAACTCTCAAGGTGCAAAGAACTCTGGTGGGAACAATGTGAAATTTGCACGACGGACTTCTAGTGGCCGATATGTCAGTCTTTCAAGAGAGGATCTTGACATGTCAGGCGAATTGACAGGAGACTACATGAATTACACGGTGCACATTCCTCCCACACCGGACAACCAACCGATGGAGAGCTCTGTTGCTGCGAAAGCAGAGGAGCAGTACGTTTCAAATTCTTTGTTCACTGGTGGGTTCAATAGCGTCACACGTGCCCATCTCATGGATAAGGTGATCGACTCGGAGGTGACTCATCCTCAGATGGCTGGAGCCAAGGGCTCTTCTTGTTCAATGCCGGCATGTGATGGTAAGGTCATGAAGGATGAAAGGGGAAACGACGTCACCCCTTGTGAATGCAGGTATTCTCTAAACCTATAAAACCTATCTGAAATCCTGCTACTGGCTTTTGACAATTATTCAAATAGGTTCTAGACATTTTTATCAGAATAGGTTATGTCCCTAATCATTTTAAATTGGGCTTTAGCCAATTGAATAGGGATGAGTATTGGGTACTAGCACACCCATTACCTACAAATATCTTACTTGTTTGAGTAAGTATTATACTCAAACTGTAAGAAAATTGGATAACTAATAGTTATAAAGAGTATACTAGCAAGTATCCAAACAAATAATAAGTATAGGAAATTTGGAATTATTTACCCAATTAAATTAATTAAATTGTTACTTATACAATTAAAATTCTATCTCTATTTGTGAAAATTATACTAAATAGTTAATAATTTAATTTCTATATAATAACAATCTTTTTTCAAAAAATAAAAAATATATATATATAAAAATTAAAATTAAGTAACAAACCCTAACCTAAAACAAAAAGGTCGAACACATGCAGTAGAAACTCGTTCAAGATTTCAAGGATTATCTCTCATTCCCTTGCACTCTAAGGTTGATCATGAAAAAGTCGACTGATATGGTTGTTACAGTTCTTATTATTTACGCTAGTGTACCTTTGACAGTTTTCAACAAGTTTCAAATGGTGGATTTTTTTAGGCAAAAATATGACATAAGGACCCAAACTTACACCAAATTCTCAATTTCGGACCCAAACTTTTATTGCGCTCAATGAAGGTCCCGAACTCCACCAAATTCTCAAATAAAGACCCAATTGGACGGAAAATTAAATTCCGTTAAATCTCCTGTTATTCCGTTAATGTTCCGTCACACTTCACACCCGCCACTTGAAAAAAATTGATTAAATTCTAATTTTGGTCCCTCAACTTCATTGAATTGCACTATTTTGTCCCTCA